AGGATAATAAATCTTAATTACATATGTTTTCATAAAAATTCTATTAATTATATATATATTGTTATATTAAAATTCAGCCTTAAAGTCAACAAACCCTCCTTTTTTTCCAACATGTTATGAGAGATCCTCTCATAACATAGTTTTTGAGAAAAAAAAAAACTTTATTAATTATAGTAATTACGTTTTATAAAGCAATTTAACTCACACTTTTTCCCTCGAAAAAAAAATTTATTATATTCTACACGCCTACCATATTTTCAGCACTTTTGCCTAGAACAAAAGGGTTAAACTATTCAACGAACAATTCAATCCTGTCGTGTTATAAACTGAGTGGGTTGTTAACATATTTAGAATAATGGAAATATATTTTAGTTCAAAATTTATAATAGTAGTAGTCGCATGATTTAGTAATAAAAGGCAACCAAGGTGTTTAAACGGGTGAAAGGACAATATAAAATGTACATAATAAACAAACAATTTGATTTTAATATCCTAGAGGCTTTCGTGTTTTTTAGCTGATGGCGATTTGTCGTGTCGCAATAATTTGTTGATAATTGCATGCTCTTTAGTATTTTGAAAATAAATAGTGAAAAATAAACAAATGCACTAAAAATATCATCATAAATTCAAGCATTTAAAATAGCTTCATGACTACCTTTGCATTACTCATAAGGAATATTGTTAGGTTGAAAAATTGTAAATGTTTATTTGATTAAAAAAGAAGGAAACATAACGCGTTGTGGAATGAGGAAAGCCACAACGCGTTCTGGATAGTTACTAATGCAACCATGAAGCGAGAAACAAGTTAAGCGATATGTGGTTGAGATACTCTACTCTAAACCGAGAAGAATTGTTTTATTATTTTCCTATATAAGGACAACGACAAGTTAGATATTATTCTGACATTATTTGAAGCGCGAAGAATTCAATAGTTTTAAAAAAAAATACTTGAAACATCGTAGTTTGATTAGCCAAACTTCAATAAATTTACTAAAATTCTTGTTGTTATCTTTTCATTTCTATTCGAACTCTTTTAACTTTTAAATAGTTTCTTTTCGTAATACAACGTGTCACTTTCGGCAAAAAAATTAACATTAAAACTATTTATTTTAATAATGTTATTAAAAGATCCTTTTTGAACAGTAGTGACCTACAACTACAAAAATTAATTTTATATTATTTTAATGAATTCGATTTATGACTGACCATTATACAGTTTGCTTCGAGTATTGCCAAAAACCCATCATCAGTGGTCTTGGAAATAAATCTTGTATTTAATTATTCTTAAATAATTTTTTGAGACTGCAAGTACCAGGGGTTTAGTTCGTGCCCTGCCAAATTTAAAGTTTAGAGTCAGTGTTCATTGACTAACTGATCCATAACCATATTTGACTTTACTATGAAAGTTTATTAACAATTTCACTTGCTGCGTTGTATGAGAACGAAATCATAGACAAGCTATAGAATAATTGAATTAATTAATTATATTTTTATTTTTAATTGTTAAATTTCAATACTATTCTGTTTGTTAAAAGATTTATTAAAAGTTTAAATAAATATCTGTTATTAATCAATTGTAACACGTCATAGGCTATCAAAGGAAGTCATATTGTAGAAAACCAAAAAAAAAAATTCCTTCCGACCCTCAATTCACATATCATTTCTTAAAGCACTTCATTGATATCATGTTAATATTCCATTTTAATTATCCTAAATGCTTTTAATATTCAAAAAGCCTTGTATGATATCTCAATCTTTAATCTGTTTGTATAAGAACCGCATTGCTCTTTTCAGTTGTAATAGAGCTCTGAATTTAGATAAACTAATCAAATGCACTCGTAAATATTTTGCTGTGGTTTACAGTGCATTTCCTGTTAATCATTTTTGGACGAGCCAAACACTAAACCAAATAAAGGGTGTCTGAATTGAAATAATTGCGGTAAGGGTTCAAAACGTCGGAAACCCTTAAAAGTGCACTTCGCATTTGCTACACGTAAATGGTAGCATGCAAAAATACCGCAAGCGCATGCAAGCACACACATGCATAAACACGCACAACACACACACACATGCAGATGTAACAAATTGCAACAATAATTGCGAAATCATTAAAATGTGATATAGAATATAGGTTTATGTTGTAAACAAAGGCAGACGGACACGGACTCATATATGTATATCACATGCTTGAAGTAGTTCCATTGATTTCAGTGGTGCGATAACGTATTTTGCATATGCCTGCTCCGCTATTCCTGCTCCGTTCCGGCATTGAAAATTGTGCCTTATCGATGGTTTGACATCATAAAAATACAAAAAATTCCTTATTTCACGAAAATATATTTGCATTTTACTAGGCATAATTGCATATTCCATGTTTGTTGCCGCAAATGTAAATGTTTGCTTTAATTACAACATAGATTAAATGATAAAATAAACATAGGCAAATTATTTAAAATGAGAAAAAAAAAATGGAAGAACTTTTTAGTTTTGCCATATTTTTGCGAGAATTACGCGCATTGCAATAAATTTAGTGGTAGAGCCGCGCACAATACCAACGGACGCAGTCATCAGCCGCACATCCACACAAATGTTGTTTGGAACATATGTCGCTGTAAACGTAAAATACGTTTAAGCATGTCGGCTAAACGCCAACAACGTAACGACGCAACAACGTAACAACGCAACAACGCAACGACGCCAACAATATGTCAGCTGCTGTCGCCATTTTTATTGTCCATTGCGATTGTTAGGTAGTGTGTAGGAGGGGGAGTAGTTGGCAAGGGGTGCGCTACCAGATTGCAACTGCTGGTAGATGGAAAAGATATAGGTATATGGAAAGGTATTAGTATCGAAAGTGCACCAAACTCATATCATACCAATTTAACACGCTAACGCTTCATTTTATCCTTGTTGTCACCTGCACTTTCGTATGGGTTCGATGAGGCATGGTTCGTATATTTTGTCCTGGCTTTGCAGATTTTTATCATTGCGCTTTAATTGATTGCTTTTATGATGGTTTTTCAGGTAAAAGCGGTGAATTAATTTACTGCAATATACGGTACGGTATGTTGTTGACTGCCGTTGCTATACTCGCTTATGTGCTTTATGCGTTCATCTTGTCAATTTGTTTTAAGTACACCAGTGAGACCTATAGTAAACGCCGCTTGGAAACCCATCACCGTACGCATGTTGAGACCAACAGTAGATCGGGTGTCTGACTAGCGAACAGATTGCCAAACATGGACCTACTGCTGTGCTAACATTGTACAAACATAGTTGATGTCTGATATGTTGATTAATTGTCTGCCTTCGATTTAAGTGTACCTACGTGCAGGAAAAGCTAAGAAAAAGTTAACACAGGTTTTGTTTAGCAATAAGTTCAGATTTTTCAATTTGTAAGGCATCTTCTCACTTACTAAAATTTGGTTAGTATATTGAATAGTAAGATTTGTTTTTAAAAATATTTTTTTTAACATGTAATAGCATTATTAGTTTTTATTTTATTAAAAGAAAAATTATTGTAAGATAAAAATCTCTTAGCAAACCATCTGAAAAATCTGCAAAACATCCATAAGTCAATGCATTGATGTCCTAAATAGCTACCTCTGCAGCCGACACGCGAATTATTAAAAAAGCTAGACACGCAGAAAATCGAATCCTGTTGACGGGACCAAAATCCCCATGCAAGAGGAACTTACAATGCAGAAATCAGAGTGATAAAAATGAATTTATTTTGGTAACATATCAGAATCTGACAATTGATTGAAGAGGTCAAAGTAAAGAGAATTTTAAAATTAGAAACATCGCTTATTAAATAGTGCATCAACTACAACATTTACTTGGAGAAATGATGAGCAAAACGGTACACAAAGTCTGAAATCGAACGAAAAATACTTCACATTTACTAAAACAAATTTTGGCTAAATTCTACTTCAGTTATTGGTATTATCCTTCAATCGTAATACAATCATTTTAGTACTTCTCTAACATTTCGATTCATCATTCGCTTCATTCATTTGTAGAATGATTTGTTTTTGGACCTAGAATATGTCTCAGTTTTAGTAATGACATTTTCATCGGAGCCAACTCTCCTTTCCCTTAATCATTTTTATAGAGTCAGTGTAATAATCAGTGGGTAGAGGTGCAAGTAATAATTGCTAAGAGCCAATTCTAACAAACACGGTGGGTGCAGAAACAACTGTATGTTATGTATAGTGTAATTCTTGTAATTTGACCATGGATCCAACGACTTGTGACATGACTTGTTTCATTGTTTTGGTGAAAGACGATTTTTTTCTTCTTATGGTGTTGTTATTTGCGATTTCTTCCTTTAAATGCACTAGTTGTGCTATATACCAATTGTTATTAGATGGTTTGGATGTTATTCAAGGTAATCGATGAACGAAACTTTACGCGTGCCCTAAAATATTGACTTCCAATTCGACTTTAGAGCGAAGTGTACGACCAAAATTTCATCCATCATCCACACCGATAAAAAGAAGACTTTTAATCTTGCTTCAACACCTCCAAACTGCGACATCCAAACTAAGCTCCAGGAATTCACATCGATTTATGTATAAATGCGGCGCAAATTAATACTAGAAATCATTTCATTTTTACTTTTGACACTTTATATTCGTTGAATCACCGGATTCAAATGCATGCTTTTAGATAGATGGACATACATGGGGGAAAAAAGACTTAGACTTACAGATTCTCGAGCTCAATATCTGTCAATTCAATTAGATTTGAAGATTTTTGTACTCACAGTAGACTAAATTTTTTCTCTGTGGTTATTATATTATTTATTACATTTCTTTATCATCATGTTGCTACTATCTATCAATTTATTATCTTATTGCCAAAAATATCTTATATAAATTGCTGTTACATTTCTTATAAGCAACTATTTAAAAAAAAAATAAAATATTCAACAAATATTTTAATATTTTCAAAATATTTTAATAATTAATTTGTTTAATTTTTATTTCTTTCCACAGATGCCAAATGCCATAAGCTGACAAATGGGTCTCTAACAGTTGCGCCTGCGAACACCAATATGTCCGCCCCGAAAACAGTTTTTGCAACTGTAACGCAACAACAACTTCAAGCTAGTCAAGCAAATAAAATGTTGCCACCTACACAGCAAGCACAGCAACATGTGATAAATTCCTCTAATTCCGTTGCTGGGAACAAAACAATGCAGCATCAACAGCAGCAACTACAGCAGTTCCAACAGCAACAACAACAGCAACTACAGCAGCAGCAACAACAACAAAATATAAGTATTATTGAAAACAAAGTGCTGCATCGTACAAAATTGCAAGATGAACGCGTGCCACCTTTGCCACAGACTCATTTGTCAACAAACGATGATTTAGCACTTATGACCACGCCCACTTGGTCGAACGGGCAAATACGCCAACAGAGTCCAGCACGTTATGCCAATGCAACAAAACGTTCACTATCAGCGCCAGCTAAGAAACAACCAAATTTCAAGGATGATCCCACAGGCTATTTGCAGCAACAAACCGCTCTCTTGCATAGTTCAATGCTGAATGTTGCAATGAGCGAAGATGCTATAGAAACTGATGATGAAAATGAAAATGAAAACGATAATGATAATGAAACAGATGAGGAATACGATGAAGTAGACAAAGTCGAAACAACTGTGATGCAACAACACCAGCAGCAGCAGCAGCAACAGCAGCAACTGGAAAACCTTGAACACAAAAATATTGATAGCAAAGCAACTAAAAGGCTCTACAATGGCACACAGATATACCAGCAAGGCAAGCAACAACAGACTGTTACATTTTATCGTCCACAACAGCAGCAACAACAGCAGCAGCAGCAGCAACAACGCCTACCACAGCAAAAGCCTTTGATACAAATAACTGAACAGCAAATCATGCTGTCACCTAGTCAAATTAATAATAAATTAGTTACGAATCAGCAACAAATTTCTGCTGCCACAACGTTGAACGCGCATACCACACTGCAATTAGAGCATGAGCAGGATAGCAATAATGGAATAGTTTTGAAACCACAGCAACAGCAACAGCACTTACAATTGCAACAACACATTCAACAACAACAACAAACTACAATATACAGCCAACAACAACAACAGCCACAGCAAGTACAACAAAAAGCAGCGACAACAATAAAATTGGTGCCAGCAGCACAAGAATCTCCCGTGTCCTCAAGTACTGCTTTCGCTCGTTCCACGCCGGATATACAGCGTAAAACACCTGACGGCTTACTGAAGCGTCCCGAACAAGTTGGTGCAATATCTACAAGCAACGAAAGTCCGCGTCCATGTCCACCCTCTCCGGCAGAATCAATAGAATCAGTCAGCTCACGCGCTTCATCCATCAAAACAGCCCCATCACCATCGCCTATACAACAACATCACCAGCACCAGCAGCAACAGCAACAGCAACAACAACAACAAGTTGTACAAATGCGCATACAACAACAACCGCAACCACAACAACAAGTACGAATTGTACGTCAGGCAACACATCGTAGTGCTGCCACAACGCAATCAGCTGTGCGTAGTTCTGTCACGACCATCGCTGGCAGCCGTAATGCAACAGCCACAACAACAACTGCATCGGCAATGCAACATTTGGAGACGCCAATGCAAACCCAAAAAATTCAAACTACAATACATAAACTTTCGCCGAATAGCGCGATACCAATAAATCAGCTGCAATTACAACCGATAATGCGTGCGGGCGATGCGGCCAACAGCCAAATAATTATGACTTCCACGGGACAATTAATAGTGATGCCAACTAATGCCAAGCCGCAAGCGCAGCAGCAACAAGGCCAACAGCTTGTAATTACAACGAACAATAATGGCACCGCAACAGTGACGAATGCAACGCAGCCACAACCCGCCAACGTCATCATCCAACAACATCAGAACCAAGTGGATGTGCTCAATGCACAACCAATCGCTACTGCAGCAGCGAATGGTGGGATTATACTGCAGAATGGACAGCAACAACAAGGTGGCTATATTGTCAGTCAAACGCCAGCAACTGCAACTACAACGCAACTGCAACCTACCACGGTGATACTCAATTCTGGGCAAAATATCCTAACTAGCAACGGTGCCAAAGTCTTGACCACTAACGGTGGCAACATAATACATGCAGGCGGTCAACAGCTCATTGCTGGCAACCAGCTATTGACAGCACAGAATCCGAATGCAACTGGCATGTTGGGTCAGCAAACTGTAGTACTGAATACTCTACCCAATGGTGGCTATGTCATACAGCAGCAGCAACAACCTACGCCGCAACAACAATTCACCACACTCGATGGACAAGTGGTAAGTCAGATAGTTCAGCAAGCTGATGGTACTACCGCTTATGTGCAACAGCAATCGCATACACAGCAACAGCCCCAGCGTATAATTATCACCTCACCCGACACCAAGCGTCGTCCGAAAAAGCGTAAGAGTTCACCCAACTCATCGCCGACAACTACGCCTGCAAATATTTCACCACAAAGCTCACCAACAATACCGAATCAAACTACAACCATTATGCAGCAACAAGCAGCTGCAGTTGCTGCACAACAACAACAAGCTCAACAACAACCACAAGTAGTGCAGCTGACACCGGCTACAGCAGCGCAATATCAGCAACAATTCCAACTTAGTCCTGGCATACAAGGTATAGTTGTCAACAAATCGGCAGCAGCGCAACACCCAACGCAACCACAACAAATATTGTTACAAAATGGCCAATTGATACAGCCAATGAATCTCATAGGACAGCAACTATTGGTACCAGCTGGTCTAGTTATGGCACCTGACGCTACATTGTTGCAAATACAAAACGTGGGTGCTTGTGGACCAAGCATACTAACAGCAACACCGCAAGGAACTATGATGCTTCGTACACCTTCGCCACAAAACAAGCAATTCATTTCACCTACTGCTACGGCTGGACAACAGTTTATTGTTGGCAGCAATGGGCAGTTGAGTCCAATCGGACAGATCTATTCCACACCAATGGGCTTAGTTATGCCAACAGCTCAACAGAATGCTGGTACTACAACATACGTACAACAGAATGCCACAATACAAGTGCAACAACAGCAGCAACAACAACAACATGTAGCTATACAACCAGCAACAATGAATTCACAGCAGCAACAACAACAACAAAATGTTAGTGGAGTTAATGACCAACAAAATGCTATAAAAAATGCTACTTCATCTTCGTCCATGTCTGGACAACGTTCAGCTGCTGCAAGTCCACCTGATACCACTACACATAGTCCTCGCAGTCCTGAAAGGCCACCATCTCATCGCAGTGGCGGCAGTGATATGGTGAGAAATTTTATATAAAATTTAATATAATTCTAAAGGAGTGAGATAGTTTTTAAATTAATATGCCACTTAGCTACAGGATATGGTCAGGACACCTATGTTTTATGTTATGTTTATATTTTTAATAACTCCAGAAAAATTATTATTATTAGGTTAGAAAATTAACTTAAGATAAGATAATACCTAAATTGATAAATTTTTAGTAAGTAGGTATATAAAAATCTATATTCATATATTCATATAGGTATGTAAAATTAGTATTTTTATTTTATATACTTAGTACTCTTTTGTATATTACTACATGATTACTAATCATATAGCTGCAAGGTTAAGAGACCATAGTTTTTAAAAGTAATTACGTACCATTAGGGCTTGACACTACGGTACTCTTAACACGGGTATCAGTAAAATGCAACACTCTTATTGTAACTTCAAGAAGTTCCGCTGGTATCAATTGGAGCCCCACTTTTGAATATATTTTCCTCCTTCGGAAGAGGCCTATCTTAAGCCTCTACTATTCTTTGGGGACAACACCCGGTTGGAAAATGAAACTCCAAATCGAATAAAAGTAATGAGTACATCATTGCACCTGGATAATTTTGAGTTTAACTGCAGCCACTGCGATACTCCTATTAAAGGGGCCAAACACAATTGGTCAGGAAAGCCGATGCTTACATCCTTAATATAAGATTCTGTCGGGTGCCGCAAGTAAAACTCACTCAATACTATTTATACTTCAAACAGTCTCGGGTTTTACCTATTGGATATTTGTGGCCTTTGATGACAAACTCTCCTGGAGATTATTCTAACCCATTTTCCGCGGTGCTTCGTTTAGTTACATGTAGTGTAAGCATTGGATCCGAGACTTTCCTTACAAACAAAAGTTTTATTTATAAGCACATTTTTAGATTTAGTAGCTCTCTGCAAATATATATCATAGTTTCTGATTATAAGAGATAAAAACATTATATATTTTATAAATATTTATATTTTATTTTTAAATTTTTAGGTTCAATGTGTTTCCAGTTCCGAACCTGATGGTGCTGTTTCTCCTCAAAGTGTTGACAGTCGACAGTCGCCCTCCACTACTGATAGCGAAAGAGGTAAGTATATTAAAAGAGTATATATTTCGAATTTATTCTATAAAATGTACGTATATACTCTGAGATTATATTATCATAAATACAAATATATAATTATATATGCCCTGTCTTTACATGCCATATATATATAGTATGATTAGGTCACAAAGAAATGTATATAAAAGTATTAGTATATCGTCATTTTTTTATCATATATTCTAGATTTTTCTGATATGGATTTCAGCTACAATTTTACTTTATTCTTATTCATCTATGGTTATGCGTTTTTACTTTCTCTTGCCAAAATTTAATTTATATCCTTCACTTAGCACTTCTTTCTGGCATGGAAGAATCTTATATATTATCCTTTATTTGTACGGCTAGGCCTTATTAATTTTTCTTACCAACATTGAACTCATAACCTAACCACAGCACTACTTTCAAGTATGAATTTTATCTACAATCTTATAATTCTCTTCCATATCTGCAAAAGACTTTTCAATGACTACTGCCAACAAGACTGGATTCATATCAATCAATCAATTAGCATTAGTTCTTGTCATGTGTTTCATCATCAGCAAACATATTTTATAATTCTCTATCTTGATTCATAATCAACCTCTTAACACTTCTATCTGTCATGATATTCATCCACAATTTTACTTTATTCTCTGCTATTTCTGGCTAAATCTTTTCTGTTTATTTTGTCAATAATGAATTAGCGTTACTTTCTAGCAGAGTTTTCATCTACTAAAAGTTTTATTTTATTGTCCAATGTCTACAGCTAAGCCCTTTCAGTTTCTCTACCCAGATTGTATTCATAATCAATCTCTTGAACGCTACTTTTTGCAATGGGCTTCATCTACAGTTTTAGTTTATTTTCCACTGTCTCTGGCAAGCTTTTTTGTTTCCAGTCCCATTTTGGATTTTTAAATCTTCAATTTTTAAGTCTTGGATTTTTTAATCCAAGATTGGCATCAACATCACATAGTATTATTTCCTGGCATGGTTTTAAACGAAATATAATTTTTAAGGTAAATTTTTTCTTGCCGATAATGGCGTGTCTTTTTTATGACGAAAGAAACTATTTAAAAGTTAGACCGATTCGAATAGCAAAGAAAGGCAAAGACAAAAATTTTTTATTTAATTTATTGAAATTTGGCTGACCATACAAACGCTGTTTCGAGTATTGCCAAGTACTCTTCATCAGTGGTCTTTGGAAATAATCGAATTTTTATTTTAATTAGTTTATAGTTATAGAAATATAATCCTACTTTATTCTAATTATACTTTATTCTGAAAGGGTAAGCTCTTTCAGTTCTTCTTGTCAGGATTAGATGCTAATTCTGTCACTTAGGATTACTTCCTCGCATGAGTTTCATCTATAATCCTGTTCTATACTTCTCTACTTCTACCTAAGCGCTTTCTTGTGTCTACATTTATCGACATTGCCATTGAGATACATTTTAAGTGTCTCTGATGATGACTGCTAAGAATATATGTATATAGATACACATTTAATGTCAAAACAATCTGTGGCACATCTGCCACTGGTTTGCCATCTCTGCTCTAAGCTGTGCAAAGTACTGAACATTGATATATTATTTTTTTTTTTTTTCAATTTTTTAGTACATTTGAAAATTGTTATAATGAGCAAAAATTATGTTAAATGAAGCGATTTGCAGTTTAACAACTTTTTAATATTCTTATCCACTTCACTTTAAGCTAAATTTGATATACTAGTATGGCTTGCCTCTCTAATGAATATAAATGTTACTGGGGAATTTTGCTTGATTTTCTATCACAAATAAATTAAATGGGAAATAAATTTTGTAAGAAGAAAATCCGCTAAAGTACAATCAAAAGTTTTACGTGATTTTTTCTACTAAATTCTGCAATTTTAATATTTTTTTCCCTTCGTTTATTTGTGGCAAACAATTCGATTTTTATTGCATATAAACGAAAAATGCAAAAAAAAAGTAGAAAAAAAATAGAAAAAAATATTTAATGGCCAAGAAAATTATTGGCAAATCCTTAAGGTATTTTTATGTTAACAACAAACATAAAATGCCAAATACCAAAACATATTTTTACCACTAATAATGCCAAAAAAAAAATAAAAAAAAAAGTCTGGTATGAAAATATATTGAAAAGCTTTCATGTTTGTCTGAATATAAAAAATTCAAGTCCAGAGAAAAACAACTGCGAAATGCCAAGAAATTGTCTGAAATTTGCTAGTTTGTTGGATGAGGGGGGGAAGAAAAAAAATTTCTTATGCAGCGCACATTTTATATAAAAATCAAGACGTTAAACGCAACATTAAATGCCAATAGACTTTATATACGTGTACACGCACGCACCTACCAATAAGCGACCATAAAAAGGATATCTTCATGATAGTGCCATCCATGCCTGCTGCCTGCCTGCCTGCCTGCCTCCCTGCCTCTGTATAATCTCTGTGCGTATCTAACGATTTTATTTTATTTTATTTTACTTTACTTTACTTTACTTTATATATAAAATCGTTAAAATAAGTAGCAACATAAATTGCACGCGCTATTAGCTACACCGAGCGGTAAACAGTAGAAATGCGTTAATATTTACAACGTCCACAATGCAGATCGAGGATAGGAAGGTTAGCGTATGGAGGGTATGAGCTGTCAGCTGGCATTGTGGTGGTATATGTTGAATACCAAAGCAGCAGCAGCAGAAAAACTTAGGAAAAAGCATCATTAAATAAATACATTATCCCTGAACAATCAATGTCAATACACAAAATATGATCCACTAAGTTAAAAAGCACTGAATCAGCTAAAAGTGCTTGTGTTGAGCTTTAGGCCAATTTTCCACAGCTCCACAGTTACTGCCACGCCAAAAACAAAAACAAAAAAAAAATATTGTAAAAGTACAATAACCTCAACAGATTTAGTGACTCAGTTCTTAAGCTGATACATATCCTTAATGTTAATATTTTTGTTTTTTTTTTTTTTTGCTTTGAACGTCAAGCAAATATTTTTTTTTTTCATTTTTGCTTTGTATATTTAATATTCTACTATACTTTACCTTGCCCTTTATATTCATTTTTTGTTGTTTTTTTTTATACTTTTTATACCAACAATTTTATAACCATTTTCTTTACGCTTAGGCATCGTTATATCAACCGCATATCAAACCTCAAATATTTACAAGCCAACGGAAGCAAAAATACGACGTGTACAAACACCGCCGCAATATGTTGCCAGCAACAACAACAACAACAATGGCAATGGTAATGGTGGCAGCAACAACGGAAATAACACAACCACCATTTTGACTGGCACAAATACGTCAACAGCTATGACAACATTGAATTTGCAACAACATCAGCAACAACATCAGCAACAACAACAACACCAACAACAGCAGCAACAGCAACATCATCATAATTCCCGACAGGATATTGTAATGAAACCTGATTCTCATGGTAAGTAATGAAGAGGAAAAGAATTATACAATTTAATATTGATAATAATGGCATTATTGCTTGTTTTGCCTTAACAATACACAATGTTAGATACATTTTCATATCTAAAATACATTACTTAGCATAACGTTACCTTACCTGAACTTACGCTACGTTACGTTATGTTACGTTACGTTATATTACATTATTATTATATTAAGTAATGTAACGTCACGTTACGTTGCATTACGTTATGCTATGTTAAATTTAATACTTTTGGCAATGTCATTATCGTAAATGTAACCAACCAAATGAATTTGTATTCTTGAGCTCGACAACAATTACTTTTTACTAACAATTTTACACACACACACATACACACTAATATGTAAATACTTATATACATATATATATAGGTAGTCTTAACCCTATAGACGTATGCAATTGTACTAAATATTCATTGGCATTAGACAGACAGACATACGCACTTATAATACTAACATTAGAAAACGTAACGTACTAACACTTAAAGATACACACATACATATATATATATACACATATTCACCCATACAAATAACACAAACAAATAAAGTTTTTATTTAAGCTACAGTATATCCTTGTGGAATAACAAATCCTTGTAGATACTTAGATACTTAGTTTGTTATAAAAATCAAATAATCGTCTTATTTCATAAAGCATATATGGTATATAGCATACATATATCTCTTATACGAGTATTGTATCTGCATCTGTTTTGTGTATTTATAACTGTTGTATATCAGATGTTTAATGTTTGTATTTATGTTTGTATTTATGTTTCCATTTATGTTTGTTATTATATCGACAAACAAGTGTGCTTATTTAATATCCTTGATTTGCGTTTAAGTAGCTTATCGTTTTGTTGCATGATTTTTCTTCTTAGCAATTCAGTAAGAATTTTTATTGTAGTTATTTTTTAATTTTTTTTTTTTTTGTTCTCATGCTATATAATATAAAATTTCAGATAAAATTGGAAATTTTCTCTTTTTAAAATTATTATAAAAGAATAAAACACTTATAGCTGGTTCAAGTTGAGCCATGCAAAGGAATATAAGTATTCGATGAGTGCACTTAAGTGTAGTCTTCAAAATACATTTAAATTAGCTAAAGTCATATTTATATATATTTATATGAACATAAATATATATAAGTAAATAATTACTTATTTGCAAAAACAGAAAAAAAATTAAGACATATATATTATTAAATATAAAGGTTTGACAAAAAATTACTATAATTTAATAAATCTTTCGTTCTTACCGATGAACAATCCGATAAACTATTAAAAAAGTATTTATCGAATATCTATTTATCTTATTTATCTAATATCTATTTATCTATCTGTAATGTGTATTAATAGGAATGCACAGTTTATCTACGTTGTGTTCTACACAGCAATGACCACAGAGAACCGCTATCTAAAACAGACTATAGAGTACTAACAAGGCTGTACACAGAGTTTTGCTGCGTACCTTATAAATAGAATTAGTCGACAGTGATATTGGATGGAGCATATTATTAACCAGTGTCCAGAACATTGAAAGATTAAGGCAAAAATGCCTAGATGATTAATGGTACTTAAGTTGAGATGACGTCAAGGCAAAAGGATATGAAAGAACATAGTATCTGCTACCATTCAGCATTAATGAGATTAAGACAAAAATACCTAGGTGATTCATGCTTCTTGAGTTTAGTTGGTGTTATAGCAAAAAAAAATTAGCAGAGCATATTATCTGCCACTCTCCACCATTGATAAAATTAAGGCATCAATGCCTAGGTGGTTCTTGGGTTTAGATGACGTCAAGGCAAAAAGAGTTGACAGAACATATTATCTGCTACCATCCAGCATTGATAAGATTAAGACAAAAATACCTAGACGATTCATGCTTCTTGAGTTTAAATGTTATGTCACTCTCTAATTAGGTGTTCTTGGGTTTAGATAACGTCAAGGCAAAAAGAGTTGACAGAGCATATTATATACCAGTGTTTAGCATTGATAAGATTAAGGCAAAAATACCTAGCCAATCCATGTTTCTTCGGTTTTGATGGTGTCAAGATTAAAGGGGTTAATTTAATAGCGCATATTATCTACCAGTGTCCAGCAGTAATGAAGTTATGACAAAAAAAACCTAGGCGATCCATGATTCTTAGATGGCGTCAAGGCTAATGGCCATATTATCTATCAATGTCCAGCATTAATGAGATTAAGTTTTGGGCAAAAATACTTAGGCGATTCTTGGTTCTTTGGTTTAGATGGTGGCAAAATCCAGAGTACCGAGATGCATGCAATTCATTAAAAAAGTTTCAATTTCATTCGATTTGACAATGCTACTATATTCGTAAAAGCTTCTTGTATTCCCATGAGCATTTTAGATCCGTGTGCGGTTCTTATAAGCCAGCTAATCAACTCTAATCTAACGACCTTTGTAGTTTCATTTAATTTTTTACTCACATTGAGTTAATAACCCACTTCTGTTGTACACATATTATATCTACTTGAACTGACATCTAATATACCATTCTTTAATTAGTATTAATGTGAATAGTTAGATTAATTATAATAAATGATTTCTAGTATTAGAACATCATACTTTATTAATGTAATTCAATTATTATTATTTATCTTAATATATGCTATATGTAAGTAATGAATAACGCAAGTTTGTGAAATCAGTTTATTAATCTAAAAGTAATTTCATTTAAGCTTCTTGACCTACGGATGTTCCATTTTTAATACAACTTAAAAAATATTTATTGTCTACCATAATTTATTTCAATTTCTTTTTAATTAATACTCAGGCCTCTACTACGAGTATTAAACATAAAATGAATCAACTTTCTTACATGCTTATTCCATACTCTATTCCATAAATCTCTCTCACCTTTACTAAATATCAAAATTATATTTTCTTAACTAAGTACGTAAAGTAAAAGAAGGCAGCGAAACAGACCATCCATAATATCTTAAGCCTCATAAGAAAGAACAAATAATGAAAATCAAATTCAATTCGCATAAATGGAACCACAAACTTTTCCCAAAACAAAAACAACAATTCACAAAATAACTTTAATTCCTTTTCTGCTCGAATTGAGTTCTCTAAACCATAACTATACATCTATAGTCTACAGTCACCAATCACCAGTCAGCAGTCCTTCGCATACATTCCGCATGCATATTGTAATTCAATTATCCTTTTATACGTTTCATTTGGTTTCTGTTGCATACTTGCAGGGGCATAACACTGTTTCCACCATTTTTACTTGATTGCATTATTATTTTTATTTCCATAATTCTTTTCTCTTTTCTTGCTTGTTTTATTATAACTATTTTTTTTATTTTTATATTTTAATATATCTTGGTTTGCTCTGCATTGTCTTTTACTGTATTTTGTCGTACCCTTTTTCAATTTATACGTTTTGCTCTATTTAAGCTCCATTCATGCCATTGTCCTTTGTTTGCTTGCATGTATGCCACATCCTTGCACATATTCGTATCTGTAATTGTGGCTGTCTGCATTGGATTTGCGTTGGCTTCAATTGGAGCAGATACTCATATTCGCAGCTGCGATAAGTTTGCTTTATTAGTTTATTGTTTGCGCGACGCGGCTTATGCGCTTGTCAGACTTTTCTCAACAATGAAATCTTAAGTTTTCTTGCATAATTTATTTCTATTATTAATCCTTGTTTAGTTATCATTCCTTTCATTCCATTTTGCTGATTGCTTTAAGCTATTTATTACGTGCATCTCACACGAGATATATGAGATATTTATCATATTTTCCTTTTTTCATCCACTCAATGTTGCCTTTATTAACAATGTAATGAGATACTCTTAATGCCGTGAGTGCTATCCATCTTAGACGTCAACAATTAGCAATAGTACGTTTTGAGATGTGGAGGGTCTAATGCGATGGGTTGGAGTTTGAGTATTTTATGTGGGAATCACATATAACTCCTTTTGTTGAATTTGATGATAGCATCAATGTTAATATTCTTACAAATTAGTGTAATTTTAACAACTTTGATAACTTCTGATAAAGACTTCAGTTGGTTATAGTAAGAAACTTAATAGAGATGTTACTTTCCAGTATGTTCAACTATAATTTTGTTATTTAATTTCAAAAGAAAATCAGTGCAACTTATTTTAAAAAGTATTAAAATTAGTATTATATTTTTCTTTACCACAAAATATGTTACAACTCGCAAATAATCAAACCTTTTTCCAACAATTATATTCAATGGAAGAAAAAAAAAAAGAAAAAAAAAAGAAAAAAATTAAAAAGAGCAAAAAAATAAAAAGTTAAGCGTGCTTTATTCCAATATTCCGGGTAGTTCTATTTGAATACAGATTATAGCGAAGTCAATTATTTTGAGCACCTTTTCCCACCACATTATTTGTAGATACGATTAACTTTTCGAAATTTTGAGGATTACAGCTGTAAACAATTTACATTTATTACTCCAACGAAAAAAAAATACTAATGCCATCTAGCGCCAATTTGTTTAAGAAATTTTTACATTAATTACACAACAATTCCTCTATTAAGTGGATGGCCAACATAAAATAACTTGGAATAACTTTCAACAAAAAATTTTTATGAAATAAGTATAAAAGGAGTACTTAGGGACTTAGACTCCTAGGCCTTTATAGGGTACGAAATTAAGCATTAGAAATTAAATCATAATTTGTATACAAACCGGTAATCAAGCTTATCTTATGACGTGTGGTAAAGCGCTCCAGACTATATTAAACAAATTTTAATCGTGACAAAATGAAGAAGCTCTAAGAGGACTGGTAAAAACGTCATTGTATGTAAAATATATATATTACGGATAGAGCCCTCAATCTCTTCGATAGTATGAACACACCCCAGAATGCAGAATTGAAATCATTCAAGACTATATATTCTTTTATCATCAGTGGCAGATGTGTTGGACTTTAAAGCCTGATATTATAAAAGAACAATTTAATCTAATCAATATTACAGCTATATCTATTCAGCAATTATTGATCCGAATTATTTACCTAATTATTACATCCATAAGAGAGTAAGAGTGGTTTAGACACTAGCTCTAAGAAAAGAGTAAATCTAAAATGAAAACACAAGTCACAAATAACAATTATTGCCACCATCTAGTGGTTTATATACATGAATCTATATTTAATACTCAATACCTCAATTAACCTGTATTGACATATATTGTAGGACCTATGACCCTTTCACAAACGATTTTAAAGCTTGAATTAAGAGGAAATATAATTTTGTTAAGTGTTTCATGGGTTTGGAAGAGAATTATCTATTATGCACTACTCCAGTCTGGTGCAATGGTGCATTTGACACACTACTGCTCGCAACTAGACCGACCGAATGAAACAATCACGGAAGAGCAAACATAATGGATCATGGAAATGAGGGTTGTGTTCTCTCATGTTCTCTCTGTCTCAAATACACAGAACTTGATAGAAAACTCTTCATCGGACCGTATAATTACCATTAGTTTCGGTCTGTCTAAAATTTATTAATGGTAAAAAATTGGCTAACTGTAGATCGGGTGAAAAACACTTAATCAAGACGCCAATAAACCACAAAAGTTCTACCCCAACTTAATTAAAAAGTTTAATTAATTTTAACTGAATTAGAAGACAAAAGGTCATATATAATAATCTCTTATATATAAATGAATAAAATTAATTCTTAATCAAGAAAGTTTTTTGTTCAAAATTATATCAAAAAATAGCTAATGGTAGAAAATGTTGTTCAAAATAAAAGTTTTTACTAAAATCCATTAGCAAATGGAAACATACTCGGATAATCGAAATCATGCCAGTGTAACAAATTCTTTTTCATCAGTTTGAATTTATATCAAGCTTTAAAGAAATTTGAACTATCTCATCCTTACCGACTTTCCTAACGATTTTTAAGTTAATATTAATTCTAACTTTTATATTGCCTTTTCATACCATTTTATTTCGGATAACTCTTACAAATCAATGCCAACAATAAAGACCCCAGCATCTAATACTTTTCACAAAATTCTTTTACAAAGTTATTTGTTTATTGACCTACAACCTAATAAATATTTTATCGTAGCCACAACTCATATATCAAAATGACAGGCTCATTATACGGTATTTTTTTTTGTTCTGCTCTATCTTCACATTCAGATAAATCGATTTAGAATATATAACAATCGAGATTTTATGACGCACCAAGTGCAGCAGCTTTCCACTGACAATATTCTCACACTTGGTCCATCGTTACCAAGCTGCGACTCCGTAACGTCTGCCTCCTACCTACTGAGTATATTTGTCTATATGTTTGTGTGCATTTCACACAAATGCCAATATCAACAAAAGCAACGTAATCAATAGATTATTTACAGATATAATTCACAGATACACGCATACAAATATACTATACATCACATTCAAATTCGCATTCCCATTCCCAATCGCATGCGGATTCGGATTCGTATATGAGTCCGCATCGAAGTCTGATTTTCGCATTCATATTCATACTCGCAATAATAATCAGTAGAAAAATAAATAAAGATTTTCCTTTATGATTTATGGCGTACAAAGTCTACCGATGCGTTTTATCGCTACGATACAAAATCGCTTTTGTGATGTTACTTTTCACTTTATATCTTTTTATTTGTATTTTTATATTCATTTTAATATTGATTTATAAAGTATTCCTCCGCCATAAACAGGCTGTTGTGGTAAGGTCATGCAGTGGCAGTGTAGGCGCCCTCAATTTTTATTCCGCAACACAAAAAAAAGGCAGCAGTGAACAAAAAATGTAGTGAAAATTGCTATTGTTGTAAATATTGCAGTTACTAGGATTAATGAGTTTTTCAAGTAATCAATGCATTACAATAAGTGACGAGTTAATCAATTAAAATATTGTTGACAATTAATTTATTACTGCCATTTTTTTCTACAACAAACAAAATTTAATTAATTTTGGGTGCTTGGTAATAATTATGCTTCCACACATGTAAATAACAATTATTTTTATTAACTAATTATGCTGTAAACCATACAACTAATAAGCAAACTAACTTATATATAACAAATGCTATATTAAATATTTTCCACGTGCACTAAAACCCCTCCAAAAATGGTTTAATAACATATAATATTTCCAAAATATATTTTCAAATATTTAAATATTCAATTTCAATGTAAATATATTCAACTTCAATTTAAACATGTTCAACTTTAATTTAAATATGTTCAATTTCATTTTAAACATATCTAACATTATTTCAAAATTTCACCACTGATTTGGACTATAACAAAAATCCCACCACTTTCATTCCATTTCATTAATTTGATTTGTTCAAATTTACTCAATTCAAATTTATAAACCTTTATAAAATTATTCACCATTATTAGAATCTCCAACAAGATCACCAACAACAACAACAGCAACAGTAACTCCACCACCATTGTTGCCCAACATAACACAAACAACAAATATTTCAACTCAATCCCTACAACAGCGGCAACAACAAATAAAAACACCCACAAAACAAACACGTAATCGACAACGTATGTTGGCGAAAACTTCACCACGAAAACAGGTGGTGAATATAGCAGCTGCCATAACTGATAGTGTAACTAATATAACCTCGCAGACAACAACTACAACGACCACAACAACACCAACTATAGCTGGTAGCAAATTTTCCATTGGTCAATTAATTTGGGGTCCTGCACGTGGTTATCCTGCATGGCCGGGTAAAATTGTGAAAATGCCTGAAGACGTTTCTACTCCATCACAGAAATATGAAACAGTTTGGGTGCAATGGTTTGGTGGTGGTGGACGTTCTACTACTGAGTTAATAGCGGTCAACTCGTTACAGAGTCTTTCCGAAGGTTTAGATGCACATCATAAAGCCCAAAAGGACACAAGAAAGTGAGCAAATTATTTGTGTTGTTAGGATATCTGAATAAAAGAAATAGCAATAAGATAGGTTTTTATTATAAGATTAGTTCTAGGAATTAGGTGGTGAAATTTTTAAAGTAAGAAATTATTGTGAGGTTAGAGGAAATAGAGAGAAACATAGTAAGACATTAGGTCTGTTCCACGAGCTACTCATAGTAAAACATGAGTAAAACAGAAGTAAAATTTACACAAAAATACTTGAAAATTTGCTGGTGGAACGCGCTTGTGTATACACAGTGTTTACTCAAAGTTACTATGAGTAGCTCGTGGAACAGACCTATTATTATATGTGGTGTGTTAAAAGTAAGAAAGATTAGAGAGAATAAAGAACCTTCCAGTTAGACATTTTTATATATGGTGTATTAAGAGAAAGAGAGGTATAAAAGTTAGAGAGAGTTAAGAACAATTACTTTATTCTTTTTATTCTAATGTAAATAATATAAAAATATGTCATAGAAGCTGGTGGGTTTGCAGATAGTCATAAATATAAAAGAATAATATGCATATAAAAAAGAAGACCGGGGCATATTAATAATGTCGGTTTATCAGTGATTAGATCATCGATGTGAGTCTCAAAGAGAGATATAAAAATTAAAGAGAATAAAGAACCATTTCAATATATTGAATTTTTATGTAAATAATTTTCGAGCATCGAAGCTATTGAGATTGAAGACAGTGATAAATAATAGAGAAAAATAAGTATTTAAGGATATCGAAATATTATAATGTGTTTTTCTAAGTGTATAAGTCATTATTGTAAGTGAGGTGTCAAGAGAAGGAGAGCCATTAAAACTAAGAGGGAATATAAAACAATTTCTTTACTTTGTACTGTGATGTAAAAAAAGTTGAACTTCGATGGATTAAGGACAGTGACATTTAAAACAATATAAGAAGTATTTAAATAAGAAAACAAGGGAATATAAGTAGTATAGGTAGAGTGCAATAATACAGAGGGCAGTAACCCAGCTAAAAATATTTTAGTGAATTAGTATATGAATTTAAAAACAAAATATTTAAAAATTGGACTATATGAAAATGTTACTCTCAAGCTATAGAATTTGACATAAGGTGTATTTGTAAACATCGGTTAATAAAGGCAGGGACAGAGATTATAGTTTTGCTCGCTGTCGCAATTTTTTCCAGAAGGGTATTAAGTCAATGCCGACCTACCATTCACCTTGATTTGACATGGAATATTAGTAAATTTCAATATTCTGAGTTTTTCTTTCTACTATAGCTAGTTCTTTGAGATATCGGGCTTTGCAAAGGTTATGATATCTGAATAAAAGTAAAAGTAATTAGACAGACACACTTTAGATGTCAAATGAGTTCTAAAAAATATATAATAAAATTTTTAAATATGGTAAAATATAAATTTTTTATATAAAAAAACAACGATAATTGTTGTTAATGGTCATTGGAATAATCAATATAAAAATTGCAAACAATATTTGACGTGTAGCCTTCTTATTAATATACAGAGTTTATACCTTCAAATATCCAATATTGTGCACTAAGCTAAATCCATAGGAAATGTACCAAAAAATATTACTCAGAATATTGAAATATAACAAAATAGGTGATAAATCACAGCGTCTGAGAAATCGATATCCCCAGATCAATAAATATAAAAGTAAAAAAACAGTAAATAAATTAAAAAAAATTATCAAAATTTTAATTACGTTTGATATAAAACTTTTTTTTATTTTTATTATTGATTATTTATTATTGATTTATTACTGAATTTATTATGACTTTTTTATTAGTCGTAGGAAATTGTTATTTGATTTTATAATAATAATTAAAAAACTTGTAGTTAAATTTACTATATAAGCAGCAATCTTATTTTTGAAATTTTTAGCACAATATTTTTTTTTTATTCTTAGAATATTTTAGTTTTAGTAGTTGCAAACCTATTAAGATTTATTTTTTGATTTTAGTAACATTAGTCTAGAATACAATAAATTGATTTTTTAAAATATTTAAATACATATATATATTATTATATTTAAAAATTTATTTTATATTGATTTAATTTCTTTTCTTTTCTTTTTTGCTTTTTTCATTTCAAATCATTTACTCAACAAAATAAAAAAAAATATGCATCTCTATATATATTATATGCATTATGAAATGAATATCCGCCTGTATATATTGTACATAAATCACAAAACACCACACATATTCTCACCATACTCAACTTACCATACTCCAAACTCAAACAAACTTCAACACACACACGAATTAAACACAACAAAAGGAGCCGCAAATTAAATTCACAATTAGAACGCGCCATACAAGAAGCAATGATCGAATTGGATCGTATTTCAGCTAACTCAACACTACGCAACAATGTGGGACATAAGCAAATCCAACAACCAACATCCACTTCGAACAATAACAACAACAACACAAGTCCAAATCGTAATAAACGTGCCATCGGTACAACTATACAACGCATCATTAGCAATGGCGCTGTGCACACTACAGCTGCTACAGCCGGTTTTACAATTCTACCAGCCAACAACCATCACTCAAACAATCACAACCACAACAACAACAACAACAACAACAACAACAACGGTATTTCAACTACAACAACACTCAATCATACAGTAACACTGCAGCGCAACAAACCAATACGCATTGCGCCAGCGCCACCAAGCGGCACAACAGCGAACTCAATTGCAAACGCTAACTCAACAAGTAAAATGCTAACCACAGCTGGAAGCAAATGACCTTTGGGATCTGTTTGTGCAGCACAAGTTTCGTGGTCAACCTATACACTAGTCATTCACAATAAGTAAGACTTACTTACTTGAAAAGTGTATTATTGTGAATCGTTTTTTTTTTCTAAGTTTACACTCAACAGAAAATAATTATTAAATATATTATTTACTTATTGTAATAAAATATTACAAATAATTTTTTTCGTCTTTAAAAAATTATATAAAATAAAAACAAACAAATCGGTAGTAATACAAAAAAAAGAAGCAAAATTACAATGAAATCAAATAAATTAACTCTGAAAATAAAAAATTAATTGATTTATAAGAAAATGTCACTGTCGAATTAAATTTAAAAGGCTCGAATCTATGAACTAAATTTAAAAAATAAAATAAATTTTTCTTTGAATAATATATATATCTTTTGTAGCGTTTTCTGAATTTAACGCTTTTGTAAATTTTATTGTTGAAAATTTTTATTAATTTGTTAAATATTTTTATAAACAAATGAACAACAACAACATAATAATAATTTTAATTTGTAAATATTTTTTAATTAATTTGTAGAATTAAAATTAAACACAACAACAATAAGAAAAAAATGTTTAAGTAAAAATAAGTTCACATATATATATTTTATTGTGAGTATTAATTTATAATAAAAAACATTTATTTATAAAAATAAAAAAGATTTGTACAAATTATTGCAAAAACCACTTATATATATATCTATAAATACATAAATATATTTATATTTATATATATGTAATATTTCTAATTGTTAAATATGTACTAATTTTATTTAAAACTTTCTTGCTTGCGTTTACGATAGCAATAATTAATTTTTATTTAATTTTAAAACGTTTTATTGTTTTAAGAAATCATTTTATTAAACTTTTTTTATTTTATAATATATTTTTCTTTTTAATATATATCAAACAACATAAATGAAATAGACAATAACTTTTATAAAAACTTAACAAATAAAATATTAAATAATTTGTTATTTTATACATACAATTTTTTATTAAATTCCTTTTTGTTTATAGTTTTAATAGCAATTTTTTTTTAAATTTAAACAATGTAATTTATTTTTTATATGTTAAAAAGTGCAGTTTTTTGTCTAAATTAAATTAAATTATTAAAAAGAGTTTGAACAATACTTTTAAAATATATAAAATAATTTTATATATATTTGCATAAAATTTTTTATTAAAATTTATTTTAATTTACTAATTTCAACATTTAAATTATACTATGAAAATATTTTATAAATTGAAAAATTGTAAAAAATATATAATTTTACTAATATTTATTATTTTATGGCCAAAATTGTTTATATATCGATTGGTTTTTAAATATGTAATTGTCAGTTTCCTGAAGACGACTTTATATTAAAGCCGAAATATTTCGAATATTAGTGTAAATTAATTTAAATTGTTTTTGTTAATTTTTATTGGTAACAAAAGTTAAATTATTTAATTGTTATAATTGAATTATTAGCGCAAAATAACAGAATATATATAATTTGATAATTACATGCGGAACTACACAATAATATTTTTTTAACCTAATGACGTGTCTTTCTTTTGTTAGTAAATAAGAAAATATATACTAAATATATTAAAATCATAAAAGTATTAATTTCAACAAACATGAAACGTTATGTAAAACGAATAAAAACATTTTTTGAAACAAATTATAAATAAATTTATAAAATACAAATAAGTAATTTTTATTTAAGTAAATTTCTGGACTAACCATAAAACTGTTTTAATTAAGAACCATTTTTTTTATAGCGACATTTTCTCAGAATTAACTTGTTTTTATAAGAAATAGGTATGTTATAATAGATAAAAAGGTTTTAATTAAAAAATATGTTTTGTTATTCTATTATGAAAGTCTATTTAACAATTTTTCACTATAAACATATAGATATATAAACAATTCTATTATTTTCATTAAAATAAAAACTGCACTAATTTCCTTAACAATAAAAAAAAAATTTTTATTGTAAAATTATATTTAAAACACATCGTATAGTTATATTTTTTTTCTTTTTCGTTCTGTTATTTATGTTTAACGTGTAATATTGTTTTTGTTGCAAATTTATTAGAATTTTTTTTATTAAATATATTGTTTAGCATTTAAATTAGTCTTAAGTAGTTTTATAAAAAATAAAATATGCAAAAATAAACAAAAAACTAGAAATCAAAATGTTGCTAAAAACAATATAATATAATACAATAACATATATATTATAATGAAATAAATGAAATAAAAAAAATAAAAACATAAGTTCTTATATAAAAATATTTCAAAACAGAATTTAAATTTATAATTGTACAAAATAAGCTTAAAAATGTAACAAGCAAAAACCAAAATGTAGTAGAAAAAAATATTAATTTACTAAAAAAATTGTTTAATTTTAAATTATTACCATATAGCAACCATATATAGAATATGCAATAAAATATTCAAAAGAAAAATATAAAAACAGTTTACATTTAGTTATAAAAGTGAAAAATAAAATATTTACTTGAGTTATAGTATAAGTACAAAAAAAATATTATTTCAAATAAAAAAAATTATTTTAAATAGCCATAAAGGAATAATATTAAAAACCGAGATGTTTAAACCATGTGGCTGGCTATATAAACATAATGAAAGAAATGGATTTTTAGAATAACCAAGGAGACTTCTTGGTTTTTCTTCAGATTTTTCTTATTTAGTGAGTCTCCTCAATTATGCGTACTTAAAAGTAATCTGTTGTCATTTCAAACATCATTTTGCAGAAACGGCAAATATAGGTCTCGGAGAGAACAATTTTTCTTAGATGTGGTACTACAATTTGCAGGTTCGTTCAGAAACCCTTTTGAGAATTTTAACATATTTTCTGCTTAGTCCAAGTTGTCTCTTTTATCGTTGAGGGGTGTTTTAATCTATATCTGGTCTTAAAAAGTCGTTTAAATGTTCTTAAATTGTGATTGTGACACTGAATAAGTTTCTGAGTTCTGACAAAGTGTAAGACCACTAAGACCATTTGGTTATTAGACTTTATATTGATAGTTGCTCAATATTTGTTTCCTCTCAGACTTTCACGAGCATTAATTCACGAAAATTAAGAAAGGTAGATCATTGTATGTCTATCATAGTGTTACCATCCTAAATTTTTGAACTGTATGTCAGACTTTGGAACTCCCAAACAGAATGAATTGAAAGATTGTAAGTGAGGGAATGAAGATTATAGTACACATGCCATAATATTATCATCCTTTAGTTGCGTCCTATATATCTACGAGATTTATGAACTCAGAAGAGCATTGATATGAGAGAATGAATATCTATAATATTCCGTATGCCGGTATATCGAATTTGTAAACCCTTATTTATTTAAGTTAAAATTTCTGTACCTTTTTCTATTCGTTTTAAGTTTTTAAAATTTCGCACTTCTGTTTAATAAAAACATTATTTATTTTTAAAAAATAGTTTGTTAAATTTTAATAATATTCAAAAATGATTTCGCTCTGAAAACTTTATTTTTCTATCATAAAAAAATAAAAATTTTAATTATTAACTACTAAGTTATTAAACAATTTGTATGATGCGATACAATTGCCCTATATATTATATAAAATAGACTTTAAACTGTCAAATTAATTTTTAATAGATCACTTTCTAGGATGGTAACTCATGAGTGTTTCAATTTCTATATGCATAGTCTAAATTTTAAAACTTAATATCTCAAAGACCGTAATACTCTTATAGCATATTTTTGTACTTCATTCAATGCAAACTCACTATACTATAGTGACTATACTATAGTTACTATAACTCAAGGCAAAGTATTTTAAAAGTCATTTTTACTAAAGAAAATAATACTTAAAAAGCAAATAGAACAAATAAAATTTAGTTTTTTAAAATTTACATATACATATACACATATATTGAATACACATAAACACACATGTATTATTTATTTATGATTGCAAGATTACTAAAAAAAATTTAATCCAAATATCTTTTATTAAAAATTAATAATGTGTATTTCACACAAAATATATACAAAAGAAAAAATACAACAAAAATTATAAATACGAATATGTATGCATTAAAACTATTATATGGAAAATATAAATAAACATATAAAATATTCTGAAACGTAAAAAAGTCATTGATTTATTTTGAATTTATGATAATGTATTATAGTATATAAAAAACAAGGTAAGTAATATTTATTTATCAAGTATATAATGTATTTATAAAAGGTCATTCATTTCCTTTGCCGACACTTACCGGAAAATGTATTCAGTTTAGGAACTACATTCTTCAAGTGTCTATCCGATATAGCAGACAGAGAGATTAAAAACATTTCCCGTTTCATCAAAAAGTTAAAATTGATTCCCGTTAAAAAGCAAACGAATTTTTATCTTAAGTTAAATTACTATGACAATTAATCCAATTGTCCAGACAATGTAGACCCTTAATACCTATGTTCTACTACTACTTGTGAACCCACTACTTCACATTTAATTAAGTAACTTATGCGTAAAGGAGTTATAGTAGCTACTTTATTGTTAATTAATTATTAAACAAAGCACTAGACATTTACTTTTTAGAATTACGAAAATAGCTGGGGCACTCCAGCTAAATAACTGGGGCACTCCATTCTAATGCTACAACTTTAGCATTAGAATGAACCCATCTTAAAGACATATATGAACAGTGTGTTTTACGAGATAAGCTACTACTGACACCTACCACCGATGCTTATATGTGTTATATATATACTTTAACCAGAGCTTTGAACTAAAATCCCGACATTTTTATATAATTGCACTGAACTGCTGGGTTGGGGAAATTTATTTTAGAAAACTATACAGTTCACAGCCATGATCTTAACCGATGTTCCTTGAAGATTTGAAATGAACTGCTTCAAAAGAATTAATAAATTGTATTCAAACTTTGTTTAAATTTTATTATTTATTATTCATTAATTATTTTTTATCAGATTCGTCATAGTTAAAAATCTGTGGTGAAAACTGCGGAGAAACTTAAGAAAAAACTAGGCATCTACTTAGCTTACCAATAGAAGTTATAACTAATATAGTGGTTTCTTGCTGTGACCCGTAAAAACTTACATATATATCAGAAACCATATAAGTATATAAATACATGGGCTAGGACGTAATTGTGTGTAGAGATGAGAACGTGGGTGGATCTTGTCGTAGCTTGTATAAACTCTCACTAAATTTTCAATAGACACACTCTTAGGCTGAGTGTGTTCCTGTTAAAAATATTGTAGACATTGAAATATAAATGGTAAAACATCTATTTTATAGCACACAGCTTTTGGCAAAAGCAGATTGATTGATAGACAATTATATCTCAAATTCTAGCACAGCAGTGTCTGTCGCTAAGATTAATAACAACCTGCATTTTATTACGGTCTCAACATTGTGACATAATTTACAAATAGTAAAGAAGTACAAAAGGCTTGCAGTCCTTCATATTGATTCAGTATCCTCTTTGAGACTATGGTTTCAAAGCAACAAAGTTCTCAATAGGCCTCCGCCTGATATTTATATAGGTAAGAAAAGCGCCATCATCGTTTCGCAAGAATCGTTCTAGTGCAATTGAGATCAAGGTTAGCTATGTGCTAAACATTTACTTGTCACGCATAAATATGTGACTTCAGGATATTGTTATGTGCTAAATAGTTACCTGTCACTCATAAATGTGTGATATAATCTGGTCTTCATCATTAAGCAAGAGCTGTCTTAGCACAATTGACATCAGGATATGGCCATTTGCTAGACTGTTACTTGAAACACATAAATTTGTAACATAAAAGCTCAACTAATCATAACGTTGTCTATCTATTCTCATACCTTAAAGCAAACACTACTTATACAGTTAAATTCTATAGGTTATTGGCTCCGACCTATTAACGTTGTTAAGTTACTTCCCCTCGAAGTGATTTTACTTTCTCTTCTCACTCAACTTTAATAGAATAGCATCCTAATCCACAGGTTCCTATACATTTAAACCCTATTGCTCATTATCTCCGACATATTGAGGTTGCCAGTTTACTTCATCTCAAAGCTAATTTTCTACTTCTTCTCACTCAACCTTAACGTAATCGCATCCCGCTCATTGAGAATTAAATATTTAGATTCATGTACTGTTTAATACCAAATCGAATTACTATATTATGTTAACAATAACAGGTACAGACTATAACAACATCAATTATAATTAACACAAAAATTTTATTTTTAATTTTTTATTTATACATATCAGATTTTACATTTTATTTTTATAGAATTGAAATAACTAAAATTTTGCGTACATACAAATTAATTTAAAATGATATAATGATAATCAATTATAATAATAATAATAGTTTACGATTACATATTATAAGCAAATTTAATGAAAAGTTAACTAAGAACTAAACATGAAATCATCAGTTGGTTTTTATTAAAAATAAAATTTCACAATTCTTACATTGTTTTAAGAATTTAATATAGAAAACTTTTAATATATTAAACTATTCATTTACAAATATGTATATTTTAAATTATACATTTTCATAAAATTTTTACATTTGACAATTGTTTTTTTTGTTTTGTTTTTAACTTAAGACGGGCCTGGTAAAAATATATATTTATTTATTTAATTTTATATATGTATATATATATATATATAAATTTTATTTTAACAACAAAATTGAAAAAATTCTTTATCATCATAAAATCTTAAAAAAAATTCACTCAAAATAAGTAATATTATTTATATTTTTTAATTTTCTTGAATTCCATAGCTTGTAAAAATAGTTGTAAATCAACAGCTTGTATTTGCCCATCGATATCTTAAAAATAAAAAAGTTTTTTTTATGAATAAGAAATTGTATAATTTTACAATTAACTTTAAACTTAAAACTAATACATCATTGTTTCTAGAAGTGATTTTAATATGCTATACAATCAAATCTTTTATAGCAAATTGATGGGGATTTTAATTTAAAGCAAATCATAAAGTTGTCTTTTTAAAAATTTTAAATATTTTAATTTCCGTTACAAAATAGATATTGCGGTAAGTTTAGCAATAATTTTATTTTTTAAAATTGTTTTTTCTTTTTTGGTAATTTATTTAGTTACAACGGTGTTAATATATTTTTAATTTTTTAAATAATTTAAATTTTTCATCAAGACTTTATTAAAAATTAAAAAATTGTTTTTATGTTTGCTATTTTAAATACAAAATATATATGAGCTGTTTGCACACTTTTTACAAAAAATTGTAACAATATTTTTATAATTTTAATTATAATTATAAATATATATGTATATAAAAATAATTATAAGTATTAAATTTTAAGTATATTTAAGACGATTTGGTTATGCTATATTTGCTTTCAATTTTCTTTCATATTATTACGATTAAAATGAAATTTATGAGACTGAAGCACTTTTAAGTAAATGAGCAACAAACAATTTCTAAAACTCCATAGACATTATAAACATTAATTGGTTTTTATATTAAAAAAAGAAAAAAAACTCAACAGCTACACTGGGTGCTAAATAAAACAGGAACAAAATTATATAGGAAAACATATGGTTAGGTAAACATACTGATATATATGTTATATAAATATATATAAAATTACTGATTTAAAACTGACTGATATGCTTAAAATTTGAATAACTTTGTTTAAATTATAAATAAATTGAAATTATTTTTTGTTGTTAAATTTGCAACATAAAACTGAATAAATGTAATTTAAAACATTGAAACATTTAATCAATGATTTTTTTTATAATTAGTAAAATATATTGTTAATAAGTAACTAGTTTATTTAGCTTCTTATAACAGAAGGACAAACATAGAGAAAAATATATAGTAGTATATAGTAGTATTTTACTGAATTAAATTATGATGAAGTTAAAAGATATTGAAATGTCCATAAAAAATGATACATAAAAAAGCTAACATAGAATATAAAATATATTATTAGCTTACAATATACTTTAATAATTTTTTTTATAAATATACTGTTTTGGATATTTTTTAAGTAGCAGCTGTTTTAAGTTTGTCTTCACAGACCGAATTTTATGTCTGTTTAATAATTATCAAATATTATTAATGTTCTGTTGGTGTTCTAACAAACATCAAATTTTCTAATTATTACTCTATTATTGTTATAATTGTCTCGTTAGTTGTTGTTGTTGCTGCTGTGATAACCTTTGAACTTCTTAGCAGTAACCAAATCGTGCTAAATCTCATCTGGATAAACTATGAGAACGCTCACGGCTGCTACTACCTGATGAGGTATTTTGTTTAGTGTTACCAAGATCACCGATACGTTGATGAGGTGGAAGTTTTTCGAAAAATGGATGCCTCAAGGCTTCACCTATTAAAGAGAATAAGAAAATATAAATATAAATTAGTTTTTAATTATAAAAAAAATTTTGAATCATTCGAAAGATAGTGATATCTTCTTTTCTATATTCAAAACGAATTTATTATATATAATATTTAAATAGTTTATTACGTTCATTAATTCTATCATAGTTTAGGCAATACTGGTCTTTTATTAATATGTGAGATTACGCGCTGCGATCTAGAGTTCTTTTATCTAGAGTACTCTCTTTAGAGATTCAGAATATTATTTTAACTTCAAATATATTTTGATAAATTGCGGTATTAAACTTACTTGAACCTACTTTCAAACTATTATTTTTACAAAATCAAGCTGTACTGAAATGATTCCTTTGACACATTTAACATAAATACTTACTGTATTTTAGGAATGTACTAAGCCTACCTTTCAAAATAGTTGAAAACATTAACTTTATTTACACAATATAAAGAAAAACAGTTCTCAGGTACGAGAAATTTTATTTTAAATATTAAATAATTATTAATTGTAATTAAATTAAAAAATTAAACAAATTTTTTTTATAATTATTATTCATTCAATTAAAAATAATATAGCTTCATTAAGGAACCATTTCAGTTGTTCAATATGTTAAAAAATACATACAAAATAAGACGAATTTTATAGAAACACTTGTTTATATTATTATAGGACTAACATAAAAAAAGTTATGTTATTAAGTACTCAATAAATACATGAATACGATTATTAAATACTGTAATATTATTAAAAACACTTAAATACTTTTTTTTAGTACTTTTAGCATGAGAACATAAACACTTACCTAAAGTAACACGTTGGGATGGCTCATATTCAAGCATTTTTTTAATTAAGTCGAAGAGTTCACAATGATCCTCAGTATCACTCATTTGATATCTGAATAATGGCTTACAATGATCGCGAACGTAACGTCCAGCTGATGACTTTTCATCCCAATCCAACTTACCGTGGTAGAAATATTTAGTTTTAGTTTTGCTGTAAAGAGTATGGTTACTACAAATTAATCAAATTTCATGAAGTAAACTGCGCGTAAATAATTGTAAGCGTGTTTTGCTTTGCATTACCGTGCCATCCTATAAGGAATTTGTCCAAGTATGCGCTCCATCATGGCAAGATGTTCGCGATTTTCATGAGTTTGAAATAGTGTAATACCCAAATACAGTTCAAATAGAATGCAACTATTAAAATAAAATTTTATTATTCAAAAAATAATATAAAATAAATAAATAAAATAAACTTACCCAATAGACCAAACATCACAAGGTTGTGACCAACCTAATTCTAAGATAACTTCTGGTGCACGATAATGACGTGTTGAAACAATTGTGCTGTGATGTTCATGATCAAATGTAGCTGAACCAAAATCAATAAGGCGGACATCAGTGTTTTTGACACGTCGCACTTCACAATTCTATTGTAAGATAAAAAAAAATTTATTTTTTAATTAATTTAAAATTAAATACAAATTTTTTTTTTCTATAATAATACTTACTAGCTTATGATTATAGTGTGTTGCATACTCTGAGTCAACGAAAAGTATATTTTCTGGCTTAAGATCGGTATGTGTCAAATGATTGTCATGTAAAAATTTGACCGCATAACATAATTGATAGGCCATGTGCCGTACTTGCTCCAATGGATACGGTTCATAGTTGTTCTCACGCTAACATAAAGAATATTTAGATATTAATTTTTAATATGAATGAGTAAAGTATTTCAAAAAAAAAACTTACCAAGAAATCGAAAACACTCAAGCCCAACATTTCAAAAACGATGCACATGTGGCCGTGATAGTCAAACCAATCAACCATTTTAACACATAAACTGAAAGTAAATAATAAAGAAAAAGAAATTAGTTTGCAATTAATTATAATATCATTTTTTTTTTTGATACGACATAATTTATAAATATTTTTAGAAGAATTAATAATTATTTACACTAACAGAGAATTGTTATTAGCATCGAATAAAAAAAAAATTTTTATTATTAGGACTCATAATCACTGAGTGTTATTGATCCGAAAAGGGTATACAAGTATAGATATATTGTTGGAATATTTTATATTATTATTGCCAACAAAATTTCTATAGTTCATTCCAATCTTAAAATTGTCAACGTTTTGAATTATTCTAACTTCTATATAGGGATAGGATTTGGTTTAAAAATTATTATTTAATACTTACTGATCACAATGTGGATCCTTCTGTGATATTCTCTCTAAAACATTAGTTTCGAGTTTAGCGGCTTCACGATATTTTTCCACATTTTTAATAATTTTTAATGCCATACAGTAATCTCTGCAAAGGTAGAAAAAAAATGTTATTTTTAATATTAAAAACCACATATTATGTATTAAATATAAAATAAAAATGTTTTTCATTTATTTATTATTATTATTTTTTTTATTATTTTTATTATTTTATATATATACTCACTTATAATATATATTTTATATAGATTATATATATATTTTATACATATTATATATATTATGTTATATATTATATACATTTTATATTTTCTTTCAATAATGTTTTATTATAATTACCAGATTATTATTAGATTATAATTATTATTATATATAATTCTATATTAGTAAGTTTTATTCATAAAATTTGATTCTATATGCATATAGAATATTGTTTATTAAATTAATATGGAAGACCATAAGTTGATGAAAGAGAAAAGGTAGACAATAGAACATAGGAAGCGCTCAATCTTTTCTTTATACTCCAGCATGTTTAGTTCCCTTTGAAATTGAATAATTGTTATATTTATTACAGTTATTACTTTATATATTTTATTTTTTATTATATTATACATGATACTACATTATATTATATATAATATTATATTATATTATATCATATATAATATTATATTAGATTATATCATATATAATATTATATTATATTATAACATATATAATATCATATTATATTAAATTATATTATGTATTTAATTAATCGTAATTAAAGCTAATTTTATAGATGTTTAATTAAACATACCTTTCCATGTCCTTCACTTTCACGACACGCCCAAAGGTACCCTCGCCCAAAGTTGCCATAATCTTATCTGAAAATTCGTAAGAAAGACAAATTTGTAGTCCAGATATAAACATATTTTGTAACTCATAATTTTAAAACTAATGCTAATTTTGTAATATGAAAATATTTTTAGTACTCATATAAATCATTTATTTTTTTTAATTTCTGATCAAAGTGTATTGAACGAAAAATTTTTAATTTAATTAAGAAACGCCCGAGTTTTTGTGACAAAAATTACAAAATTTAAATATAAAAATTAAAAACAAAATATCAAAAAAAAATTTTAAATTTGAATTTCAATTTTAGAATTATCGAAAAAAATATATAAACTGATATTATAATTAAGCTTTAAATAAATAGTTACGATTGTTAAATGATAAGTCCGACATAAAAATTAATAATTAAAAACAATGTGTACTCCTCCCTCCTCTTCAGACTGAAAAATTCGCTTATAAGCATTTTTCAATATGATGAAGATAGAAATTTTAGTTATAAAATTAGATTTTTGGTTTTGTTTTTAATTATTTTTTAGCGCGTACCGAAAATAGAAAGTTAAAAACTAAATAAAAATTCTACTAAAAAATTTTTAAATTAACAAACTAAGAAAATGGAAAGTAAAACAAAAAGTTGTCACGAACATCTATGATGCAATATGTCGCCGGCGTGATATATTAAATGCCCATCTGTATCGTCTTGAATGATCGGCTTTGCTGTCTGTTTATGTTCAAGTGAATAAACGAGACGAATTGGTAACGGTCAATATATAGCGGAAGATTCAGATGTAGCAGCAAACGTTGGATGTGGTGTTTGACGAAGCAGTAGCAGTAGCAGGTGCAGGAACAGGAACAGGAACAGGAACAGTAGCAGCAGTTGGTGGTGACAGGAACAGCAGCAGCAGACAGAAGCAGCATACAGGAGCAGGTACAGGAACAGTGGCAGTTGCAGTTGCGTTGAAGTCGATTGGTTGAAGGTATTTGTAGATAGCACGGTATGATTTGGGTACAGTCATGGTTGTATTTGTAAGAAAGAGAGAAAAAGAAAAAAGAAAGAGAAAAAAGAAAAATACCATTTTCAGGCAAAAAAACAGCATAACCAACAGCATAGTCAATTCAATTCAAATTCCCAATTGTTTGTCGTTCACAAGATGTAATTCATTAACAGCAATCAGCAACAGCATTACAATAATATCATATGTAGCGAAATTGCAGTTGTAGTAGCAGCAACAGCAGCAGCAGGAATCCAACGTTGCACCACACCATCCAAAAAAACAGCATACAATTTTACAGGAACAACATCATAAAATACAGCAAAGCCATTTAATTCCATTTTCAGCAACATCATCACCACCAATCACCAATATCACCCAATACATCAATTTCATCATTGTGATAACCATCATCATCATCAATCATAATCAGAAAAAAACACGAGAAAAATACGTATCGTTTTTTCGATAAGAAAATTAGTTCGGACAAATTTTTTGTTGTTTGGTTTTTTACAAAAAAATTTGTACATATTTTTTTTTTTTTTTGTATAAATAAATTATTAAATAATATGTTATTTTGTTCATACAAAAACACTAAATATTAGTTCAACCAAAAAATATTGAGTTTTCAAATAAAACATATAAAACAAATAAATATTATTTTTATTTTTTTATTTTTTAAGTGCATAATTATTTGGATTTCGTTAAGATAGTCAAATATAAGAGAGCAGGGGGAAGGAACTATAGCAAGTGTGTTAATATTTAACGAAAATATAATTATTGTAAACTTTTATTAAGAAAAAAATTGTTGTATATAATAATTTATTAGCAAATATTAAATAGTAATATATAATATATGATTATAAATTTAGTTTATAATGTAGGGAAATTACTGTAACTGTTATTTAAAAGATAATAATAATTTATAGATAATATTTTATTATTATCGAGTAACGAGTACAGATATATAAATTGTAATCTAAAAAGGAGAAATAAAAATAAATATATATTTTTTTACTTGAAAAATAAAATATATATTATAATGTTATTATAAATAAATATAAATAATATTATAACAATATAAATATAAATATAAATATAAATATAAATATAAATATAAATATAAATATAAATATAAATATAAATATAAATATAAATTATAATAATAAATATAAATAATATTATTATATATAAATATATTATTAAACATTAATAAATATATTATATTATATTATAAATATTAATAAATATATTTATATTATATTATAAATATATATGAATATATTTATATTATATTATAAATATATATGAATATATTTATATTGTATTATAAATACATTTATATTATATTAATAATATAAACTATAATTATATATTAAAGACATAGCAACGCAAAAGGCGTGGATGAGTTGAAAAATCAAAAAGCATATATTATGTTAAAAAGATATATTATATTATATATACATTATGTTAAAAGCAACTATAAAATATATTATAATCTAATATATAATATTATATTAATATATTACAATAAATGAAAGTAAGATCAATAAAATTATGAATAATAACAAGCGATAATTGATCGATTACAATCAAAATAATGTAATGTTTACGATAATATAATATATTAATATAATATAATATATTAATATAATAGAATATATTATATTATCTTAATATATTGAAATACTTCTATATAATATTTAGAAAAACTAAAAATAAAACCTTTAGTTAACGCATTTTTTGTATATATAAAATATAAAATTATATTCTCTCATATATTATTAAGAAAATCTATAAATCCTACATAAAGAAGATTAAACATTCTATACGATGTAAAGATATGTACTTTAAAGCGCAGGGTTTTATTAATAAATCATTATAAAATAAATAAATATATAATAATAAGTTTATATTAAATCTCATTTCACTAATTTAATATATATATTAGCACAAGAAATATATAAGAATATATATAATGTATATGTTAAGAGAAACCCAAGTTTGAAATAGAAAATAATATTATGTATATATACTATTAAAAACTATAAGTGATATTATATTTTATAAAAATTAAAGGTATAATGTACATTAATATATATAAAAAATTTACCTAAAAGTATTAAAATTTAAATATATCCAGCAGTTTTTTATTTCATGCAACAACAAAAACACAGCAGCTTCAATATTTGCATCAAATTCAGCAGGAACTTAAAATCAGTATAAATTTTTTATTATAATTTTATTTAAACAAAGCAGATATCATGCTATTATTCACTTAAATCGAAAATGCCTTCTTATGAACATATATAGTAATTATTGTATTTGTAAGGATAATATATATAAGTAAATTTTTTTGATCTTTAATAACAACTTAGCGACTTTTATAAAACCAAGTCTTCATAATATATGAAAGCAAAGTCGATAAAATTATAAACAATAACAATCGATAATTTATCGACCAATCAAACTAATATAATGTTCACCATAAATAATCGATTAAGAAAAAATTTAGAAAAAGGAAATGTTCGATAAACAATTGAATATGAATATATTTAAAAAAAAAAGTAATTATAATTAACTTCGGAAAAATATTATTAACTAATTAAATTTAATTTTTAAGGTCAGTTATGACGTTGGCCAAAAATACAATTAATTAAAAATAATAAAAATTTGTTGTTGCTATTTACTACGTTTTTGATACATAAAGATAGTATCTAATGTTTTCCTACGATTAGGTGATTATAGTATTTTATTTTTAAATATTATATAGGAAAAAAGAGAGACATCCTACTAAGTTGTTATACCAGATTCAACTAAACATATAATTCCTTAAATCGATAAATATTTCTAAATAAACCACTGCTTCAATTATGTTTGTATACGAGTATTTGTGTCAAACTTTCGTTAACCAATTTTTAATGACACTCTCAGATCTTCTAACTTTTGGTGGACTTCAAAGATTGATGTACATATAAATGAGAATCTGTTAAGCTTGAATTGGCGTTCAAAATCTATAAAAGCATATATGCAAATCATGCAAAGCTTAAAAAGTGAATATAGTAAATATCCCAAAAGAGAATTAAAAAAATAATGGCTTACAAATGTTGAGAGAGTTTTTGGAATGCGTGACCTATTGAAGAGTGCCGCAGATGTGGCACTTTTCGATAACATCGACATTTGTTGCTGATGTTGCTGTTGTTGTTGATACTGTTGATATGCCTGCATTTGTTGACGGTGATAGGCAGAAGAGGATGAAGATGCACCACTTGCAGCAGCGGCACCAGTACGACGACTACCAATGCCACTACCACTGCCATAGGTTGAATTGTATGGCTCATAAAGGTGCGATTTATAGGAATTACTTAACAAATTATTATAGTGTTGATAACGATTATTGCTGCCACTAGGCGTATCAGCATCGAATTCATTCAATACAGCAGCAGTTCGAGATGTAGCTGCAGGCTGATAACGTTGTGCACGTCCTGCAGCCAAACGTTCTCCAATGCCACCAAAAGCTAATGCACCAGAACTTGATGAGTGCATAAGACCACCACCACTACCAAGTGTACTGGTAGTTTTAGTGCTCGCATATGGACGATATTTAGAGAGATCATTATTGTTACGATCTGATTTGAGAAAACGACTTGTGTTTGTTGTTGTAGTAGTGCTCAGTGCAGTCGAGCTAGTTGTTGTGGTTGTTGATGTAGAAGTTGTTGTTGTCGCTGCTGGTACTGTAAGTGAGGTAGTGTCTTTGTTAGTGATTGTTGTGTTATTTAAGGAATCAGTTGTGGTTTTTGTTGTAGTTTTGTTAGCAGTGGTTATTTCTTTAGTACTAGTATCATTATCCTCTGAGCTAGTCTCTGAGGAACTTGTATCACTATCTGAGCTTGGACTAGTTACTTTTGTTGGTTTAGCACTCTGTTTAGCATCCGTGCTACTGTTTTTCTTTGCATCCACAACATCTGTATCTGTATTCGCTTCTGTGTGATTATTATTCGCATCATGGTTTTCCTTATTTTCTACTTTGTTTTGTGCATTTTCAGTTTTCTTCTGCTCTTGTGCTTTTCTCTCGGTTTCCGCTTGTTCATAACGTTCCATACGCTCTCTTAATTCCTTTCGCTTACGCATACGTTCTTCAAACTTTTTAGCCTCTAGAAATTGATTGTCTTCACGTAGCAGTGCTAGAATTGCAGCATTATCAGCTGAAGAACGATCATCTAGTAAAAGTTCTACTTCCTCAGCATCCAGTACATTACCTTGTGTACCCGATCGCTGAACACCAGACGTTGCTTGTGCACGACGATGCGCAAAACGATTTCTGGAGTTTAATGGACGATCATCGTTTTGCTGATCGTAACGAGATCGAGCTGTTGTTGTATCATCTAAAGCAGGTACTAAATTCTCAGCAGTTTTATTGCGACCATAAGTCTTATTACGGCGTGTATTAGCGGCAGATGCGGCATATTCATGATCACCGTATACATCATTCGGTTCATAGCGACTTTTATAATTATCACGTCCAGTATGGTAATAATCACCTCCACCAATACCATTACGTGTACGATATGTTGCATTATAGTCATTTTGTCGTTCATATTTAGGATAGCCCGTAGCTCCACCAGCTTCCAGAGCCTCATAATCATTTAAATGTCTTTGGCCATAACCACCATAATTTCGACCAGTACGTGCAGTTCTGCTATTGCCATAATCAACTGGATAGTTATTA